GTGATGGATGGGGCAATTGAGCTTGCTGGGCTAGAGGAATCAATCTTGGAATGACCATAAGAGGGTAGGAAAGATGATAAATGTTGAAGAAATTAGATTTTGAAGGTAAAGTAGGAAGAAGGTTCTGATGGCAGAAGAGGATGAAGGAAAAGCAGGGTAACGAAACGAAAGGAAACAATTAAGGTGATGGAACAAAAACAAAGTTGCTGGAAAAGCTCAGCAGGTCTGGGAGCATCCGTGAAGGAAAAAACAGAGTTAACGTTTCGGGTCTGGTGACCCTTCCTCAGAACTCAATGCCAACAAAAGAATGAATGTTATGTCGGATTGAATTTAATGCTTCCATTGTTATGACACCTTTATGTCATAACAATGAATATTCTTGTTTAGAAATATATGTACTAAAGATAACCCCACTTAAAATGTGCACTATGATGTATTTTATTACTATAAAATTAGGAAACTTCCCTGAATAGCAGAGCTGGCATTCTCTGCACTTTTGTCTCATGTGCCAAGAACCAAATTCAAATTGTGATCCTCACTCTGTTTGTTTAACATTCTTCCTATTACCCATGTTCTTCTGCCCCTCCAAAATCCTTTGCTTCCTCTCACTGGGCTCCCGTATCCAAATTGCCTTGCTCCCTTTCATGCCCCCTCCCTCAGCACCCCAGTGACTGCAGTTATCCCAATCCCTTTGCTCCTTCTTCTTTGCCACTTATCCTGGCCTGCTCACTTCCACCTACTAGATGTCTCTATCCCAACCCCCTTTCCCAGTCCTGCTCATTATATCTTCCTCACACTATCTTACGCTTTGCTTCAGTCTCCTGATTTCCCGCTTCTCTCTGAGTGAGCCAGCAGGCAGAAAGGATCTGGAGGAGCAGTAAATGGGATGGAGTAGGACGGTGTGATAATTGGAGGAAGCAAGGGGCTCAGAGACTGGCATGTAAAAAGCATTGAGCAACAAGTGAGAAGCAACAAGCTGCAGGCTGGAATTGACAAGTGTCAGGCTGGAAATGACAAATGGGAAGTACGTAGATGTTATGATCCCTGGTGAGACCACCAAATATATGTCATGGCCCAGTTAGGAAGCAGTAACTTTTTTTAAGTAGACAAATTTTGAGATCTCAAGTTAAAAACAAGAAAATGAAGTCACAAGAGGCTGTGATTTTGAAGAAACAAAATAAATTTTACTGTACAATGTGCGAACAATGACATCCAGAATTGGCTTGAGGTAAATTGGGTAAGCAAATAGTAAATATGCTCAAAACAGGTCTGACTGATTTCTCAGTTAACTGTACCTAAAGACTCTGCAATCCAGAGCCGACTCATGGGCATTAATTCAAGCCCTCTCACAGACAGCTAGCTTCATTAAACTGACCCGACTCTAAGATTTGCTAAGTTCCAATGTTTCTTATGTATACAAAATAAATATTGTTTATTGGCTTCTTCATGGTCATGATCGGCCCATATACATTCCACTATGAAGGAAAACCGGAAGTGAGGCAATCCATCTCAACGGACCCCACAGTTTAAAAACCAGGCGGGAAAACACACCGACGCTACATCGGAGGCTGCACTGAGGATGATACCAAGCATGGTAACGAAATGTCTGCGAAACAACAAACCAGCTCGGCGAGTCAACCAACCACAACATCAATCTACCCTGCTTACCCTACATTATACTATCATCCATGTGCCTATCCAAGAGCCACTTAAAAGTCTCTAAAGTATCTGACTCTGTCACTGTCAGCAGCGCATTCCACACGCCGACTACTGTCTGTGTGAAGAACCTACCTCTGACATCTCCCCTATACCTTCCTCCAATCACCTTAAAATTATGCCCCCTCATAATGGTCATTTCCACCCTGGGAAAAAGTGTCTGACTATCCACTCTATCCGTGCCTCTCATCATCTTGTACACCTCTATCAAGTCACCTCTCATCCTTCTGTGCTCCAATGAAAAAAGCCCAAGCTCCCTCAACCTTTCCTCATAAGACCTGCCCTCCAGTCCAGGCAGCATCCTGGTAAATGTCCTCTGCACCCTCTCTAAAGCTTCCACATCTTTCCTATAATGAGGTGACCAGAACTGAACACAATATTCCAAGTGTGGTCTAACCAGAGTTTTCTAGAGCTGCAGCATAACCTCACGACCTTAAATTCAATTCCAATGCCGATGAAAGCCAACGCCTTCTTTACAACTTGTGTAGCAACTTTGAGGAATCTATGGATGTGGGCCCCAAGATCCCTCTGTTCCTCCACACTGCCGAGAATCCTGCCATTAACCCTGTGCTCTGCATTCAAATTCGACCTTCCAAAATGAATCACTTCACACTTTTCTGGGTTGAATTCCATTTGCCACTTCTTTGCCCAGCTCTGCATACTGTCAATAACCTGTTGCAACTTACAACCCTCCACACTGTCCACAACTTCACCAACCTTTGTGTCATCAGCAAACTTACTAACCCACCCTTCCACTTCCTCATCCAAGTCATATATAAAGATCACAAAGAGCAGAGGCCCCAGAACAGATCCCTGTGGAACACCGCTGGTCACCGAGCTCCAGGCTGAATACTTTCCATCTGCTACCACCCTTTCTCTTCTATTGGACAGCCAGTTTTGTATCCAGACAGCCAAATTTCCCTGAATCCCATGCCTCCTTACTTTCTGAATGAACCTACCATGTGGAACCTTATCAAATGCCTTGCTTAAAATCCATATAGAACACATCCACTGCTCTCCCTTCATCAATGTGTTTTGTCACATCCTCAAAGAATTCAATAAGGCTCATGAGGTATGATCTGCCCCTTACAAAGCCACACTAACTATTTCTAATCAAACTGTGCTTTTCCAAATAATCAAAAATACTGTCTCTCAGAATCCTCTGCAATAATTTGCCCACCACAGAAGCAAGACTGACCGGTCTGTAATTTCCACGATTACCCTTATTCCCTTTCTTGAACAAGGGAATGACATTTGCCACCCTCCAATCTTCTGGTACTACTCCAGTGGACAGTGAGGACTCAAAGACCATTGCCAAAGGGGCAGCAATCTCTTGCCTCACTTAATTAATTGATTAAGTCTATACATTAAGCAGCAATGCTTACCAAATTATAAAATGAGGAAAAAACTGGAATGAAACAGAGCCCTTGAACAGATGGAACAAAAACTTATGGAACAGCTGTTGCAGTGGGAACAGTTTCATCTGCATGCAAGCAGTTCGTAATCCTGTTTACCTTGAATGGCCAAATTCTCCCATCAAGGAATTGATGGAAATAGGATCAGTCAACATAATATTTTGGGAGCAGTTTTCAAACTAGTTAATGATTTGAAGTTGTCTGGTCTGGCCTGGCTCCTGACCGATTAGAAGCTGTCACAGTCATCTACATTCATTGCTTCCTCTGAAGCTTAATTTGCATCTTTATTGAATGCTTTCACAGCCATTGCACATATAAAATAAAAAAATCAAACATGGGTGAACTGTGACCAATGTAAACAAGCACTGGCATGGTTGTTGCTGGATATTTGAACACAACTTGCTTTCACCCAAAACTCCAATGAGGTATTATCCTCCATGATATTTCAATATCTATCTACCTCCTCTTTAAAAGCTTTCAGTGATATAGTGTCCACAGCACCCTGGGGTACAGAATTCCAGACATTTACTAACTTCTGGGGAAAGAAATTCCTTCACATCTTGATTTTAAATGTGTGTCCCTTATTCTGTAATTATGCTATTTAAGTTGAGGACACTGGTTTGTGACCCATGTTGCTGTCCTTCAAACTAAATTTGAAGTTCTGCCATGTTGTTATTACTATCCCATGTATCAATCCTTCATTACATATTACTAGATCTAAAATAGCCTGTTCCCAGATAGATTGTTTCTTATAGCAATATGCTGCACAATCTCTGATACACTCTAACAATTAGTCTTCCATGTTTCCCTTGCCCACCTGATTTACTCAGTCAATATGTAGTTTAAAACCACCCATGACAATTGTAGTACCCTTCTTACATTCTTTTATTATTTCCTGATTTATACGTCTGATTCCATGTCATAATCTATTTGCACCTATATCACTACTCATCACCACAATTACACCTCACTTAATTAACAATACCATCCTACCTCATTTTCCTTTTTACCTAGTGTTCTGGAACACTGAATATCCTTGAAGATTGAGTTCCCAGCTCTGATCGGACTACATATTCATTTATTTCCATTTGAGCTGTTGATTCATCTATCTTGTTATAAATGCTGTGCACATTCAAATAAAGAACTATAAGCTTTGATATCTTACAATTATTACTTATTCTGATTCTAATTTCTGCTGCACTCTTACACAGTGAGTTCGCCTTAAATTGCGTGTTTTATCTGACATGGCAATAGTTTTGTTTTCTCCTGCAATACTAGAAAGCGGTTGTGGATTTTTATGGAATTGAAGAATCTGACGAATATTTATTACCACTGATTATTAGGTACAAACACTACATTCCTCAGGCATATCTATGTCTGAGCTAATGTTAAACTACTGGGTTACAACAACAGCATGTTCCCAGTACAGCATCATGTTTCAAGTAATCAAGATACGGTGAAGCATAAAATCTTTAAACACAGCGCAGACTCAAAGGGTTGAATGGCCTACTCTGGCTCCTATTTTCTATGTTCCTTGTCATAGTTCAGGTAAAATATGGTGCAGTTGATGATGAGACCATGAGAATATCTCTTCAAGCCTCACAGAGAGCCATAAAGCAGATTCTCTCTCTCTTTAACCAGTGGGCTTCCACTAGCTTTCTGCCTAGAAGCTAATAGACAACTTTCCCTGATATAACAAGGTGTAGAGCTGGATGAACACAGCAGGCCAAGCAGCATCAGAGGAGCAGGAAAGCTGACGTTTCGGGTCAACTCTTCTTCAGAAATGCTTATTAACAGAAATGTTATTCCGCCCAAGCCATAGAGACCTCTAAGATAACACAGTGGGGGCATCCTTGAAAGAGTAGATACCTCCATCATGATCCGAGATCCAAGTGGGCGAGCTGGGTAACGGCGACCTTCCGTTTAAAAGGTTCCTCAAGGTTCCGCCCTCCTCGGTCAGTCGGGCGCGAAGGGCAGCCGTTGAGTTTCGAAAGGAGGGGAGTGTGCCGCGCGAGGCGGGGAGGAGGAGATGGCGCGAGATCTCACCGAACTGCCCGCTCCAGACGCGGCCGCCGCACCGTTCGGTGGCCTCCAGCAGCCGGATCTTGCTGAAGCCATGCTGCAGGAGCCTCTGGGCAGCTCCCAGACCCGCTAATCCGCAGCCGACGATGACGATGCTGGAGTCGTGCTCCTGCCTGGTGATAAGCCGCGCCATTTTTGTCCTGGAGAACAGCCAGTGTTGGAGATCCCAGCTGGTGTTTTATTTTGCTCTATGACCCGCTGCTTGGCTGTCTTGATTATGCGCATTTTGCCCAATTAAAAGTTCCCCAGAGATAACAGACCTTGAAGTTGACGCTAACCAAAAAGTACGTAGCGTGAGTTGTAAAAACAAAAATCAAAGCTGACTCCAGCATTGAGTCAGAGATCTGCAGGAACTGCAGATGCTGGAGAATCCGAGACAACAAGGTGCAGGGCTGGATGAACAGCAGGCCAAGCAGCATCATAGGAGCAGGAAGGCTGACGTTTCGGGCCTAGACTCTTCATCAGCATTAACGGTTCTTACTATCTCTCAAAGCTTTGCATTCATGCTGAAACCATTTTACATCGCTTTAAAACACATTGCACTGAGTGCTGGATAATTTGAACCGACTCGCTCAGAGATGTCACGGGGAGAGTGGTCCCTCCGGAAAGCAGATAAGGGTGGGGAGGGAAAAATGTCTTTGGTGGTGGGTCGGATTGCAGATGGCGGAAGTGTCGGAGGATGATGTGTTGGATCTGAAGGTTGGTGGGGTGGTACGTGAGGACGAGGGGGATTCTGTTTTGGTTGTTATTGAGGGGACGGGGTGTGAGGGTTAAGTTGTGGGAGACACGGTTGAGGGCGTTCTCGACCACCGAGGAGGGGAAGTTGCGGTCCTTGAAAAACGAGGACAACTGAGATGTACGGGAGTGGAATGCCTCATCCTGGGAGCAGATGCGGCGGAGGCGAAGGAATTGGGAATAGGGGATGGCATTTTTGCAGGAAGGTGGGTGGGAGGAGGAGTATTCTAGGTAGCTGTGGGAGTCGGTGGGCTTGAAATGAATATCGGTTTCTAGGTGGTTGCCCGAGATGGAGACAGAGAGGCCCAGGAAGGGGAGAGAGGTGTTAGAGATGGTCCAGGTAAACTTAAGGTTGGGGTGGAAGGTGTTGGTGAAGTGGATCAACTGTTTGAGCTCCTCGTGGGAGCACGAGGCGGCGCCGATACAGTCATCAATGTAACGGAGGAAAAGGTGGGGTTTAGGGCCGGTGTAGGTACGGAAGAGGGATTGTTCCACGTAACCTACAAAGAGGCAGGCATAGCTTGGGCCCATGCGGGTACCCATGGCTACCCCCTTTGTCTGTAGGAAGTGGGAGGAATTGAAAGAGAAATTGTTGAGGGTGAGGACGAGTTTGGCTAAGCCGACGAGGGTGTCAGTGGAGGGGGACTGGTCGGCTCTGTGGGACAGGAAGAAGCAGAGGGCCTTTAGGCCATCTGTATGGGGAATGCAGGTGTATAGGGACTGGACGTCCATGGTAAAGATGAGGTGTTGGGGACTGGGGAATTGGAAGTTCTGGAGGAGGTGGAGGGCGTGAGTGATGTCACGGACATAGGTAGGGAGTTTCTTGACCAAGGGGGAGAAAATGAAGTCCAGATAGTTGGAGATAAGTTCGGTGGGGCAGGAGCAGGCGGAGACAATGTGTCGACCAGGGCAGTCAGGTTTGTGGATTTTGGGAAGGAGATAGAAGCGGGCAGTGCGGGGTTGGGGAACGATGAGTTTGGAGGCCGTGGGTGGGAGGTCACCTGAGGTGCTGAGGTTGTGGATGGTTTGGGAGATGATGGTTTGGTGGTCGGGGGTGGGGTCACGATCAAGGGGGCGGTAGGAGGAGGTGTTGGAGAGTTGGCGTCTGGCCTTACCGATGTAGAGGTCTGTGTGCCATACTACAACTGCGCCTCCCTTGTCTGCGGGTTTTATGGTGAAGTTGCGATTGGAGCGGAGGGCTGCACGTTCTGCGGGGGAGAGGTTGAAGTGGGTGAGAGGGGTGGAGAAGTTGAGGCGATTGATGTCTCAACGGCAGTTGGAAATGGAGGTCGAGGGAGGGTAGGAGGCCTTGGGGTGGTGTCCAGGAGGAGGGGGTGTGTTGAAGGCATCAGTAGAGGGAGGGTTAGGTTCACGGTTGAAGAAGTAAGCATGGAGGCAGAGGCGGCGGAAAAACTGCTCAATGTTCAAACGTGACCAGTATCCGTTGATGTGTGGGTGGAGGGGGACAAAGGTGAGCCCTTTGCTGAGGACTGACAGTTCGTCCTCAGTGAGGGGGAGGTCTGGGGGGATTGTGAAGACTCGGCAGGGCTGAGTGTTGCTGTCTCCTCTGGAGTTGCTGGCTGTGGAGGCTGTGGGCGGGGTTGCGTCGGTGCCGGCGATGGGCGGAGTTGCATCTGTCTCGGTGATGGGCGGAGTGGCATCAGGGTGGGCGGAGCGGGGTAGGAGGCGGCAGCAGCGGTGACGGTAGGTGCGTCTTCAGTGTCTGTGGTGTTGGCCTCGGAAATGGAGGCAAACGCCATCGCTGCTGATGCCACCGCCTCCATTTCTGAGGCCAACACCACAGACACTCGACGCCGCTCCGCCGACCACTGACGCCAACGACGATGCAACTCCGCCCACTGCTGACGACGACGCAACTCCGCCCACTGCTGATGCAACTCCGCCCAAAGCCGACGTCGCTCCGCCCACAGCCAGCAGCTCCAGCAAGTTGGTGTCTACCACCCAAAACGGGCTTCCTCCACCCCCCAACCCCGCCCACAGCCTCCACAGCCAGCAGCTCCAGAGGAGACAGCAACACTCAGCCCTGCCGAGTCTTAGCCATTCCCCCAGACCTCCCCCTCACTGAGAATGAACTGTCAGTCCTCAGCAAAGGGCTCACCTTTGTCCCCCTCCACCCACACATCAACGAATACTGGTCACGTTTGGACATTGAGCAGTTTTTCCGCCACCTCCGCCTCCACGCTTACTTCTTCAACCCTGAACCTAACCCTCCCTCTACTGACCCCTTCTCCTGCCTCCAACACACCCCCTCCTCCTGGACACCACCCCAAGGCCTCCTACCCTCCCTTGACCTCTTCATCTCCAACTGCCGTCGAGACATCAATCGCCTCAACCTCTCCACCCCTCTCACCCACTTCAACCTCTCCCCCGCAGAACGTGCAGCCCTCCGCTCCAATCCCAACTTCACCATAAAACCTGCGGACAAGGGAGGCGCAGTTGTAGTATGGCGCACTGACCTCTACATCGTTGAGGCCAGACGCCAACTCTCCGACACCTCCTCCTACCGCCCCCTTGATCATGACCCCACCCCCGACCACCAAACCATCATCTCCCAAACCATCCACAACTTCATCACCTCAGGTGACTTCCCACCCACGGCCTCCAACCTCATCGTTCCCCAACCCCGCACCGCCCACTTCTATCTCCTTCCCAAAATCCACAAACCTGACTGCCCTGGTCGACCCATTGTCTCCGCCTGCTCCTGCCCCAACGAACTTCTCTCCAACTATCTGGACTCCATTTTCTCCCCCTTGGTCCAGGAACTCCTTACCTACGTCTGTGACACTACCCACGCCCTCCACCTCCTCCAGAACTTCCAATTCCCCGGTCCCCAACACCTCATCTTTACCATGGAAGTCCAGTCCCTATACACCTGCATTCCCCATACAGACGGCCTAAAGGCCCTCCGCTTCTTCCTGTCCCGCAGACCCGACCAGTCCCCCTCCACTGACACCCTCGTCGGCTTAACCAAACTCGTCCTCACCCTCAACAACTTCTCTTTCAATTCCTCCCACTTCCTACAGACAAAGGGGGTGGCCATGGGTACCCGCATGGGCCCAAGCTATGCCTGCCTCTTTGTAGGTTACGTGGAACAATCCCTCTTCCGTACCTACACTGGCCCTAAACCCCACCTCTTCCTCCGTTATATCGATGACTGTATCGGCGCCGCCTCGTGCTCCCACGAGGAGCTCAAACAGTTGATCCACTTCACCAACACCTTTCACCCCAACCTTAAGTTCACCTGGACCATCTCTAACACCTCTCTCACCTTCCTGGACCTATCTGTCCCCATCTCGGTCAACCACCTAGAAACCGATATCCATTTCAAGCCCACTGACTCCCACAGCTACCTAGAATACACCTCCTCCCACCCACCTTCCTGCAAAAATGACATCCCCTATTCCCAATTCCTTCGCCTCTGCCGGATCTGCTCCCAGGATGAGGCATTCCACTCCCGTACATCTCAGATATCCTCGTTTTTCAAGGACCGCAATTCCCCCCCTCAGTGGTCAAGAACACCCTCGACCGTATTTCCCGCAACTCATCCCTCACAACCCGTCCCCACAATAACAACCAAAAAAGAATCCCCCTCGTCCTCACGTACCACCCCACCAACCTCCGGATCCAACGCATCATCCTCCGACACTTCCGCCATCTGCAATCCGACTCCACCACCAAAGACATTTTTCCCTCCCCACCCTTATCTGCTTTATGAATGGACCACTCTCTCCGTGACTCCTGTGTCCACTCCACACTCACCTCCAGCCCCACCACACCCAGCACTTTTCCCTGCAACCGCAGGAAGTGCTACACCTGCCCCCACACCTCCTCCCTCACCTCCATCCCAGGCCTCAAGAAGACTTTCCACATCAAGCAGATATTCATCTGCACATCTGCTAATGTGGTATACTGCATCCGCTGTACCCGTTTTGGCCTCCTCTACATCGGGGAAACCAAGCGGAGGCTTGGATACCGCTTTGCAGAACACCTACGCTCGGTTCGCAATAAACAACTGCACCTCCCAGTCGCGAACCATTTCAACTCCCCCTCCCAGTCCGCAGACGACATGTCCATCCTGGGCCTCCTGCAGTGCCACAACGATGCCACCTGAAGGTTGCAGGAAAAGCAACTCATATTCCGCTTGGGAATCCTGCAGCCCAATGGTATCAATGTGGATTTCACAAGCTTCAAAATCTCCCCTTGCCCCTACCACATCCCAAAACCAGCCCAGCTCGTTCCCGCCTCCTTAACTTGTTCTTCCTCCCACCTATCCCCACCTCAAGCCGCACCCCCATTTCCTACCTACTAACCTCATCCTGCCCCCTTGACCTGTCCGTCCTCCCTGGACTGACCTATCTCCTCCTTACCTCCCCACCTACACTCACCTTTACTGGCTCCATCCCCGCCTCTTTGACTTGTCTGTTTCCTCTCCACCTATCTTCTCCTTTATCCATCTTCTATCC